CCTCCAGTGCCTGCCAGGGCCGTGCTAGGGCCCCTAGGCTTCCCAGATTGACCTAAATCTGAAATAGATTGACCCAAAATCTGAAATGGATTGACCCAAAATCTGAAATGGATTGACCCAAATCTGAAATGGATTGACCCAAATCTGAAATGGACTGACCCAAATCTGAAATGGATTGACACAAATCTGAAATGGATTGACCCAAAATCTGAAATGGATTGACCCAAATCTGAAATGGATTGACCCAAATCTGAAATGGACTGACCCAAATCTGAAATGGATTGACACGAATCTGAAATGGATTGACCCAAGTCTGAAATGGATTGACCCGAAATCTGAAATGTAATTAGGGTTTAAATATATATGGTAGAGAGGTTTAGGTTTTAGGGTTTAGGGTTCAGGGTTTAGGGTTTAGGGTTTAGGGAGGGATCTCAACACTGAGACTTGGACCCGACCGGGGTTCCTTGTACTAGAACCACTATTACCCTAAAACCAAGTACCTAATTATTGGGTACTTGGACCCTAAACCCTAAACCCTAAACCATTCTGAATCCCTTTGGGGGGCTCTGCCTCTGCATGTTCGGAGTCAACGTTGCTAAGCGCCTCGGTAAGACGCCGTATGCCATCTTCACCTCGCAACATTTGGGCGGTTGTCAAAATTAGGGTTTAGGGTTAAGGGTTTAGGGTTTACGGCCCCCTTTTGGGTACCCTAAATATTAGGTGCCGTATTATAATAGGGATCCAAAAAGGGCCCATAATTTTGATAACCACCCATTTGATCTTTCTTCACCTCGCAACATTTGATCTTGGGCGGAATCCATTGCCGCCCTTGGCATAATAAATGTCACTGGGATGTTGAGCTTGGTGGCCACAAACTGCTCGTAGACAGTCCATATCCTCAAACATGTGGCCAAAGCAACAAGAAGATTCTTACTGATAGAACCGGTGGAACTGCAGAACCCTTGACAACAAAACGGATTTGAAAAGACTCCTAGGCTTTTGGGGTCCAAGTTGCCTAGTGAGGTATGTAGGCTGGTCCCAAGTATCGAGGATCGCTACCATCTGGCCTACGCGTGTAAGGTTGCTTTCGAAAATGTTCTCCAGTTCCTGGCTTCCCACTCCGGATGCCTCCAGCAAAATCCGATGCTGGTTGTTGACGAAAAAACACATGTAGAAAAAGGCGTCGCTTGTCGACTCTGACTGGAAGACTGCCACCGCGCTATGTATTTGCGACAGCTTGTACCGCCAAGTCCAAGAAACGAAATGTGTTTGTTGCCCTCGCTCCAGTCTTGGCATCCAATCCACGAGCGCACAGCCCGGGCGACCATCTCGCGGGCAGTTGACATCTTGACCTAGTGGATCATCACATAGCCAGAAGGCATCCTTCATGTCATTGAAGTCTGGATCCGCCTTACCAGTTCGCTGTGATGCCAATGATGCGAAGCTGTCGGAGAGAAGATATCGAGGACTTACTCCTGCTGTTTCGCTCTGGCGTGCCTTCATGTCTTGCACCTGTTTCTGAATCTCCGTATCTGTCATGCCCATCCTCTGCAAAGCAGATCTATGCCTCTCAATCTCTGGAAACTCCTCCCATAAGTCCTGGTACATCTTGTCCTTAGCACTTGTGTTGAAACTTGTTTTGTGGTGTAATGTCCTTGAAATGTTTCAGATAGCTCGATTTCTCGGGCCTGGTACTGCCACAAAAGCTTCGAAGCACCAGCTAGAGTAACGGGATGGCTGTCAGGGCTTGAATAATTTGTAGGAGCCACAGAGAATAGTCACAAATAATGTCCACCAATGGTTCCTTTATAATTGCAGTAGAAACAGCCCGTGACCGCGTTGAAACCATTTGGGAGCCTTCGTTAGATACTGATACTCATCTTATGGTAGACTCTACCTTCAGGGCTCTAAATGAAGGAAACAAGGACGATGGAGGCTGCAACGTTACAAACAGCTTCATGTAGCTTCCGTCTGCTTTTGAACGAATGATGGAAACAGAAATGGAAATTACTGTAGGGAGTGCCAACCCAGTATCCAATGTGGCTTCCACCTTGGCCACCCTCCTGGAACGGCGGCAGACCATTAAGAAGCGGACCGAAACCAGCACAAAGGTGATGCCAACGGTCACCACCAGAAAGGGCCATAACTCACAGCCGTCCTCATGGAGCAAGAAGGGAAACTGGCACGGCTGGCAAAAACCTGCCTTGGAGGCTGTGCCTGGTGGGCAGTCCTGACAAGTGGCGCCGCTTGAGGATGGAATCGAGCCTTTGCTGCAGGCCTCACAGTGACTGGAACCTGCTGCGGCAAAGTGCCCCATGTCACAGATCTCGCAGCCAAGTCCGTTACCTGCAGGGGCAGACCCTGCCGGACATGGTGGCCGGTGGAAGGAAGATGCGCCATCGAAGATCCGGGTAATGTTGGACCTGGGGGCCATCTGCCAAGAAGACAACTGCTGGTTGAAGGAAGCTGCGTGAGAAAACATGCTGCTCGCGTCTTTCAGCTCTGTCGTGTTCCAGGAGCCAATCGGCTGATTGAAAGCAGCTGCACCATGAAACATGGATTTCATGGTCGTCACAGATGAGGTGTCCCAGGAGCCAATGGGCTGATCGAAGGCTGTGGCTCTGTAAAACATGTGAGACATGTTTACCGCAGTGGAGGTATCCCAGGAGCCGATATGCTGATTAAACACAGCTGCCCCGCTAAACATCTCCTGCAAGCTTGTGACCGATGCCGTGGTCCACAAGTTCAAAGGCTGATTGAAAGCGGATGCTCCCGAGAACATGCCGGCCATGTCTTTCAAGGACGACGTGTCCCAGGTTCCAATCGGCTGGTTGAATGCGCTGGCGTTTCGGAACATATCTCGCATAGTCACCACGGAAGTTGTATTCCAAGCGCCGATAGGCTGGTTGAACATGACTGCATCATGGAACATGCTAGTCATCTCTGTAACGGCACCTGTCCTCCATGCATCCAACGGCTGATTGAAAGAAGAAGCACCCTGAAACATCCTATTCATGAGCGTGACAGCTGATGTATTCCAAGTGGAAAGAGCCTGTTTGAAAGCCCTTGCGTGCATGAATTGGCTGTTCATGTCCGTCACAAGCGAAGTATCCCACGCAGAGAGAGATTGGTTGAAAGAAACAGCTTGGTGAAACATGTAGCTCATGTCACGCACGCTTGACACCTCCCACGAGTTAATAGGCTGATCGAATGCAGCTGCGCCATCAAACATGCGCCGCATGTTGACGACTGATGAAGTGTCCCATGAGCCAATTCCCTGATTAAAGGACCGGGCCTCCTTGAACATTCTCTTCATATCAGTGACAGACGTCGTATTCCAGGCGGTAATGTCTTCATTGAAAGCTCGGAGGTCCTCAAAGAGGCCACTCATGTCAGTCACAGCTGAGACCTCCCAGTGAGAAATTTCGCCATAGGTGGACCGCAGCTGAATCCTTCCTTGGCGTCGACATGCCTACAAAATGAAACCACGATGTCTTCTTGTAGGGGCATGCGTAATCAGAAACCTCAGCCCCCGATTATTCCCATGGGACTAGTTATATGAAATTTCTCGCCAATATACACCCAATGTATACCCTATATATACATCTAGTGTGTTCCCCAAACTTAAGTCAAAGCCCTGTTCATGTAATCCAATCATATACCCCAATACAATATATGACCATCATGTAATATATGTCCCCAGTATACCCCAAAGCATAGCCCTCCTTAATATCTATAGGGTATTACCCCCTTATAATGTGAGATAACTCCCAAAAAAGATCTACAATATATACCCAGTCTATTTTGGATATCCCCCAAAACTATCCCAATAAAGCTATACCCAAACCCTAAACCCTAAACCCTAAATCCTCAACCCTAAACCCTAAACCCGAAACCCTAAAACCTGATAGACCTTTCTTTTCTGGACGGGCTTCGCTCCTCGTGGAACTCCCAAGCCAAGACGGCTCTCCGCAGCTCGGACCTTGGCCAGATTCTAGGGAAGCAGGTAGGGTTTAGGGCGTTTTTAAGGGTTTAGGGTTTAGGGTTGAGGGTTTAGGGTTTAGGGTTGAGGGTTTAGGGTTTAGGGTTTAGGGTTAAGGGTTTAGGGTTTGGGGTTTAGGGTTTAGGGTTTAGAGTTTAGGGAAGCAGGGATGTAAGGATAGCAGACACCTATATAACATAGTATATTGGGATTATAATGGGTTATATTAGGGTAATAAATGCATATATCTAGGGATTATATTGGGTTGTATTAGGGTAATATAGGGATAGTGGAAAAGAAAATGGAAACTATTATGTAAATAGTATAGTAAGGGTCTAGTAAGGGCTGTTTTAAGGGCTGTTAAGGACGCTAAAAGCTCTAGTAAGGGTTCTAGTGAAGGTATGTGAAACGTATGAGAGGTAGCGTAACGGCTGCTTTAAGAGCTGTATTCAGTGCACGGTAAGAAGGGTCTATTAAGGGCTGAATTAAGGTTTGTGTTAAGGATATGTTGAGGGTTGTGTTACGGGACCTATTAAGGATGGGGGCCTGCAAAGTTGGAGCAGGATGCCAGAAACAGGGGTCTACACAAAGTCTTTTTGGGTGGCATGTAAGCATGGTTGTAGGAATAGGCGGAAAGTTTCAAAAGACGGAAAGCTTTCAAATCTATACTCATGGGAAAACCCAGAGACTCGTAACTCAGACGAGGCACTTGTTCTGAAAAGTATGAAAACACTGGTGCTCACATGTTGCATCATCGCAGTGGAGAACGCTGGGAAATTTGCCAGGCGGACACTTGTGACAGGAACTGTGGTCAGGAGTTGGGACGGAGCCCGCACTACAGGGGCCACATGATCTCATGGAAGTTGTCGCGAAACGTCCTGGAGGGCATCGCTCACAGCCAAGCTTGTTGCGACCAAGAACAGAGCCTGGCGAGCAAGGCGGTGTATCGAAAGCAGTTGCACCCAAAAACATCCATGTCATGCTCGTCACGGATGAGATATCCCAGGAGCCAATCGGCTGGTTGAACGCAGCTGCTCCCTGAAACATAGACTCCATGCTCCTCACAGATGAGGTATCCCAGGATCCTATCGGCTGATTGAACGCAGCTGCTAACTGAAACATAGACTCCATGCTCCTCACAGATGAGGTATCCCAGGAGCCTATCGGCTGATTGAACCAATATGCATACCCAAACATAGACTCCATGCTCCTCACAGATGAGGTATCCCAGGAGCCTATCGGCTGATTGAACGCAGCTGCAAACCGAAACATCGACGCCATGCTCGTCACGGATGAGGTA